CCCGCTCTATGGTAAGCTTCACCATGAACAGCACTAACATCTTCCTCTCCTGCTCTATGGTAAGCTTCACCATGAACAGCACCAACGTATTCTGAAATAATTTGTTGAAACAAGAACCTAAATCAATAGAAACTTGATGAAGTTATGAGCTTCTGATAATGGTTTGAAAGGATTTAATGGAAATCATGTACCGGTTCCACAAGCACGCATACAAGTAACTTCATCAACGAATCGATTCATATTTCCGCCAGAACCCAAGTATTCGAATGGGGCACAAGACGCTTGGGATTCATTGAAGAACCACCTAAATTCGAGGTTTTTGAGTAATTTGGGAAAGGTTCTCAAACTATGATAGTGAAGCGAATTCAGTCAAAACAGCACTGAATCTCGAGCTACTGAATGACGGTTCAAGTGGAATACAAGAAGATGAGAAAGCTGGATGCTTGGCACTGAAACGTCGCTTTCGGAATGACCAAGCGTTTCAGTTCTTCAAGATTCCACCTAAAACGCTGTAAAGCTATCTGAGGAACCTAATATGCCGGTCCTGTGCTCCTAATTATAGCGCTGATAGAGCATCAAAACAAAATCTAGGTATCCTGAATCTGCCTTCAAACTGGCTTCAAGATCATATACGTTGCCATGGACCATCCCTTCCCAACTACCTGGCCAGTTTCTGCTCCCTCCGAGTGCAGTTTTTCTTTGTTTCTCGCACTACCCACCTACGGTTATATGCTCAATGAGTGTCCGCGATACACCTATATTGGATATGTGGGTCTGATATCAAGGAAATGCAGACCGACAGCTTCGGAATTTTCGCAGACCCATCTAAACAAAGAAGTGTTGTTGCTCCTGTCTTCTCGTGCCCAGTAAATTACTAGACCGTAAACTTCAATTTCATAAAATTTCAATACATACTGGCAAAGGGAGTAAGTGGTTCAGCAGCAAATGGCGCTCTACTACACAGGCACGGCCAGGACTGAGGACTTGATATCTAGGCCAACCAAACGATCCATTCCTCGGGTTCGGTCAAATGGATAAGAACCTCCGGTAAGATGGAAGAAAAGAATGTTCATACAATGGCAGGCCACGGCATGTCCTTATCCAGGCTACATTTGAGATGGAGAGGGGAGACCTATCTTAAGACGTGACCGACTCACCAGCGTCAAACGACTTTTAATTGATGACTTTCCAATAGTGAACAAGTTTGGTAAACACTAAAGAGAAGTGAAACAAGACAAAACTCACATTTCTTGAGCGACTTCTTCGTCAGGAGATCCCACATCTGGAGGCAGCACGCAAGGATTGGCATCGGGATGATGATAATCCGGAGAAACGTCCACTTCAGTGGTTTCGTCACCCCGAGAGCTTCCGAAGTCACCCTCAGAAGTTTCGTGATCCTCAGAAGTTTCGTGATCCTCAAGAAATTCGTCAACAGGATCTGAAGCCGAATTTAACAGTGACTTCGTTTCCGTTGGTTTCGTAGTTTCTCCTCTGGTAGTCATAAAGGTGCTCTTCTAGTAAAACATGGTTGGCTCTCATGGGGGGAGGG